AAGTTCATATTCCTCCAGGTGGGTGTTGCTTGGATCTGGCTGGGGTCTGGCTGCTGTGCTCCACTTCTTCTTGGTGCAGCCCTTAGAGGTGAACTCTTTGTGTCTCTCTGGCAAGATGTTCTGCTCCTGAATCAGCTGGGTGGGTCTTGCCTCTAGCCTCTTTGCAGGGAGTTCTGCTGAAAGGTTCCACGCTGGGTCTACACTATGGGTAGAATGAGGATCTGAGGGCCCCAGGTCCTCTTAAAGCTTATCCTGAAAAGTATCAGTGAAGAAATGTCAGCACCCCTCCCCCACTGCAGCGTCAGCCTCAAAGAGCAGAACCTCTGACTGGAACTGAGACATCCGGCTGGGGCTAGTGAAGATCAGGAAGCTTAACCAAGGAGATAATGGGGTTTAGAGAAGTTTAGAGAAAAAGGATTTGGAAAGGAATTCTTTGAAGGCTGAAGGAGAGTTGAGGAAAAAGGAAAAAAGTGCTTTGAGCTCTCTTCTGGAGTAGGTAAGTGTTTATGCTCAGTGAGTGGTAAGTTAGTCTCCTCTCCCCTCTCCCCTCTCCCCTCTCCCCTCTCTGTATTTAGGATAGGGTCTACAGGGTCTCAGCACACAGATCAGACTCATAGTGGTCCTTCTGTTTTCAGCCTCCCAAGGGCTGGCATCACGCCCATCAGCCCAGTCTCAATCACCCTTTCAGCAGGTCCTGGAGGTGGGGCCAGCACAACATGTCAGGGATCGAAGCCCTCCCCTGCGTCTGCCTAAGCAGTCGCTTTAATCAGCTGAGCTATCTGGCTGGCCCAATCTCATTTTTTTATTTTTTATTTTATTTTGTTTTTTGCGGAACCGGGGATTGAACTCAGGCCCTTGCACTTGCCAGGCAAGCGCTTATTCTATTGAGCCATCTCCCAGGCCCTCATTTTTTGATATTGAAGGACACCTGTGCATGAGTGCAGCCTCTGCATATGAAAGTGAGGTTATGTACAAATCTAAGAATACTGTAGTTCTTTTAAAAACAGAAAGTAGTAGAAGGTCCCATTTACATTTATTTTGTTTATTTTCTAGTAAACCTCAAGAGTCACAAAGCTATCATATGTGAATCTAAAACTCCAACTACTTCCTATGCTTTTTAAATGAAAGTATGGGGAAAACCCTGTCTGCTAGAGAGTCCAGATCCAGGGTCAGATTTTGTGTAGAGAAGTAGGATAAATAACTCACTCCAGTTTATAAAGAGCAACCCTTGCTCCAAGGATTGTCCAGCAGCGTAGGAGCATCAGAGTGAGCTCTCTCCCTGTTATAAAATGTAGCTCTTGGCACACGTATCACGAGCATTTGTTAAACTGCATTTCCTGGGCCCTAGAACAGAGGCCAGGTATATACATTCTTTTTGATTGTTCTTTTTAAAAAATTCAATTTTGATTGTTAGTTTGAAAAATATAGAGCTATGAAAGTGATTAATAGAAAAAATCTTTATCAAAATTTTCAGTAAAAAGGATGTTCAAACATTCAGAACTGCTGGTCATGCTTGCTCGGTGGACTTGAGACCCTCCACGAAGGCCGTGCTGCTCAGGTGTAGCCCACGCTCCCTCAGCTTTCCTCCTCAGTTTCCCTACTCCTTATAATCAGCCTGACATTTAAGCAGACTCTTGTTTGTCTCTGAACTTGGTAATGAAAGTTGTGATTCTCATGTTCTGTAAATTTCTAACACTTTTAAAATTTATTACTGTGTCTAAATGATAGAAAAGCTTTGATGAGTATTTGTCCAATGGCTTGGATTAAATTGAGAAACAGCAGTACAGTTGCCAGCAGTCTAGAGTGGTCTTCCTGAGCAAAATTTTACCACAACACCAAGACCAAAGTCTCCCCAACAGCTAGTGCCCAGTTGTTTCATTTGGCAGGGAAACAGTATATTTGAGAGACAGGTGGGAGAGAAGTATGACATGATTTATTCTAGCCCATTAATCATAAGATACATTTCTTTTTCTCATTCTCTGGTTTTCTTGCCATTATTTTTGCTGTTCACAGCTCCGGGGTATGACCATAATAGAATAGTGTATTTTGCTTTGGTCGTAGTCTTAGTCCTGAGGGAAAAAATCAGTGCTGTGTGCTTTCCCAGATAGATGTTGTCCCAGGACAGTTTTCCCAAAGGAAAAACTGATTCATACAGTCTTTTCCTTTTGTTAAATTGCTTTAATTTTACCTCATTTCTACCCTTACTAATGTTATAAAATGTATGCCATAAAGAAATAAATTCCAGGGGACATCAAAGGAGAGAACTTAGGGCCGTTCACTTCATTGGCAAAGATTCAACTCTTCCATGCTGTATGAACATTTCTGAGGTTGAAGCTGGCCCTCAGGGACAGCTTTCTGTTCACAGCATGCTGCACACCAACACAAGACTGGTGCCACCCCTCCCTCAGTGTGACATATCTTTGCTAAGATGATAACGCTGTATTCTGCCACTGTCTAGTTTCATGTTCCTTTCTCTACCTGTCTGCTCCCAGGCAGCAATGTTTAAATACAATATTCTGCAATTGTGTGGTTATATGACTACTTCTGTCTAAGAGAGGAACATTCAGTGTTGGCTGCTGAATACTTCCCTTTCTTTTGTTTCCTTCCAATGTGAACATCACAGAAAACAGTCAAACCCATGGACTTGAACTTGAGAAACTACTTGTGTGTGAGCACCGTGTGTTAACCAATTGATCTGGAGCTCCTTGAAAGACAACTTGTGTTCTAGACACAACTTTAATGACTCACTACACTTTTATTGTTTTCTTACTGTAATCTTCACAAATTCTCATGTGAGACCACAGGAATAATTCTGGTAGAGAACAATGGGGCTCCTTTTAAGCACTGTGGAGTATCCTCAACCTCTTGGGAAAGAAGGCAACCCCGCTCAGCTTCTAGCTGCTGAATCTTCCTCTCCTTTTCTTCCAGAGCTGCTTCTAGCTGAATGATCTTCTCACTCTGCAGGGAAAGCTGTGTTGACAGCTCCATAATCAAGCTGATTTTCCTGTTTTCTTCTTCCACTGGTAGGAGACCTTCATAGCACTCTTCCAAAAACCCAGATGCTAAAGCAAACAAGAAAAGGAAAATCTGAGCAGTTTTAATTAGAGTTCCCAGAACTTAAAGAAAGGGAAGATGAAAAAGGTTCATTTCTCACGTTCTAAAAGGAAAGCAGAGTGTTACATCGTCTGGTTAATATACTGAGAAGGAAAAGACCCAATGAAGGGAAAGATTTCGGTGTTCTTGAAAGAACTTGGAAGCCTCTAGAGAGTGAGGAGAATCAGCCTTCGCCAAATCTTTTTCCTTTTTTTAAATATTTTGTGCTTATTTAACTGTCAGTTAGCTATGGGAATGATTTAACCTTGAAAATTAGCCTACAACAGTCATCTGAGCTTTGTGTTATCTTTTTCCCTCAGAACCTTTCACAAGAGTAAAACCTTCCCCATCAAGTACAAAAAAAAAATATGCTTTGAATGAAATTTTTATTTAATTGAGAAAAAAATTTATCATTGCCTCTTCTGGGGAAAATGATAGAAAAGACAAGTTTCTCAACCCAAGTCAGCTTCAGAGTAGGAAGGGGCACAACTTGACGTCATCCAGGAAACTTCTGTATTTCAACAGTGTCTCCCGTAGAGATCTAGGTTTTTTTGGGTCTGAAGACATTTCAGCCTTTTAAAATACAATCGCAAATTTCTCCTGAAAATAAAGCTTATTCTTTGTCAATTTTTGCCACCTAATCCCTTAGACAATGATAAAGATCAGAGTAAGAAGGGAGAAAGGGAGAGAGAAAAACTAACAAAGACATTAGTGACTGTAGCAGGGACTGCTTGAAAACATATCTCAGAAGCTTACCCAAAAATGTAGCTCCGTGAAGTAAACCTTATATTACTGGACCTTAGCAGCAGTGCCCTTCTTTCTCATTCTTTTCTTGAAAATTTCACCAAACTATACAAAAGAAATACTTAGGTATAAAAAGAAGAGGAAGTCAAGGGCTTGGGTGACATTTTAAGAATAATGGAACCAATAGCATATCAATGAACCTAGCACATGGTTTAGACATGTGATTGCTATAACTGAAAGTTCGATATTTACTCAGTCTCCAGTGAAAACAATTCTTATAGCTGCACCTAAGGAAAAAAACTATTAAGCCAGGATACAAAACCTGCTACTGTTGTGTACCACACATCTAAAGATTAGGCAGCTTTGCTGAGTTATGGCTGCAGGCCAGGCAGGCATCACCTATTTCTCAGCAAGTAAGGCTGACAGGCTCCACCACTTCTCAAGGGATCACAGGTCATCACACTGCCCAATCTACAGGGTCTTTTTGGTTTCATAAATGTATTAAGAGGATAGTCAGGAAGACTGGTACACATATGTAATCCCAGCGCTTGGAAGATCACCATTTGAGGATAGCCTGGACTACACAGTGAATTCATAGCCATCCAAAACCACATAGCAAGACCCCATGTCAAACAAACAAACAGTATTAGAAGGAGCAATTTGACCATTCTCTGCTGTTAGACATTCTTATTAACAATTACTAAGTTTTAAGCATCTATATGGAATCTTTTTCTCTGATTATTTGAAATTCTAGTGTCAATATTTAAGAACATGGTGGTTTTTGAGGTGGGAGTTGGGGCGCAGCAAAGTGGCTGGGAGAGTGGGCATGGCCTGTCAATCACAGAGGTCCGGGACGTAGGTGCAGGACTGCTTCTGAGCCCTACACTCGGCCCCAGGAAGAGAGCATTGTTAACTCTTCTGGCACAAGATCAAATAGGATTTTGTTTTGTGGAACCGGGCATTGAACTCAGGCCCTTGCACTTGCCAGGGAAGTGCTTATTCCGCTGAGCCATCTCCCCAGCCCCTCAAATAGAGTTTTGACAGGGTGACCTGGATCTGACATCTGAATGGGAGACATAAAAGGTGGCAGTCCCTTGTGAACCATCTAGCCAGACCACTCTGCAGAGTACCCATTTTTCTCCTTCCTTGGATGGGCTCGATTCACCTCACAGAGCATACTCTTTCCTACTTTTAAAACCTCTAACAAACATAAAATGTTGCTACTTAATTTCCTGTCTAATGCTTGTTCAGGACAACAAGCCCAGAAAAAACCCTGGAAAGAGTACACTACCTCAGAACCCAGATAACAGTTTGAGAGGATAAGATAAAAGAGCCATGAAAAAAATTCAAACTTCAAAGAAGCATCCTGCAATCAGCATGTGCTTTCCAGCCCAGGAGGAGGAGTGCAAGGGCAAGCAGCTCCTCTGCAGATAGCCAGGGCCTGCTCACCTTTCTCTTTCTCTAGAAAGAGCTCTACTGTCTAGTATGGTAACCATGTATCCTCAAAGTTTACAGAAAATGAGAGCATGGGCATCTGTCTTTGAGAGAATGGGTTCATATGGGCTACACTAAGGTTTTTTTTTTTTTTTTTTTTGGGGGGGGGAAGGGTCTACAGGGTGTTCAGGGTCTCACTACTAGATCGGACTCCTAGTGATCCACCTGTGTACAGCTTCCCAAGAGCTGGGATTATAGGAGTGCACCGCCATGCCCAGTCTCAATTGCCATCTCAGCGCACCCCCTGGTGGGTGGAGCTGGCACGGCAGGCCTGGGGATCGAACCCCTGGCCCCTGCACCTGCTTGCAGGTGCTTTAATCTGCTGAGCTATTTGGCCGGCCCTTTTGGACTAAGTTTCAACACAAGTGGAAATAAAATGAAAAGTGCCACATATGGGAGTAGGAAGAGGCTAGGGGGGAGAACAGTAGACAGGAGGGGACGGCTGGGCCTCGGAGATGCAGCGGGGCCTCAGGAGCTCCTCTTGAATGTGCCTGCCTGACAGCTTCTTTTGTAGGTCTCTCCTCAAACTTTCTCTCTCAGCCTCTCTTCTTTCACAAGAATTTTCCTTCAAAAGACATGCATAATGAAAAAAAAGTTTTGAGCCATTGTCTCTGACCAATTTCTCTCTCTCTCTCTCTCTCTCTCTCTCTCTCTCTCTCTCTCTCAATAAGGCTCTTATTTACCTTTTTCTAATGAATAAGGTAAAAAAAATGCAGCAGAAAGGCCTTACATGGGCACTTCCAGAGACACCACACCTACATTTTCTGACTCAAAAGAGGCAGAAGGAGAAAATAAGTGGGTGAATTAGTCTGCTTGGAATACTAAAAAACCCCACTGTGTTGCTTAAGCCAGTGGTCTTGAGATTTTCGGCACCAGGGACCTGTTTCCTGGAAGATAATCCTAGATCCCTTGCATGTCCCATTTCCAGAAGGATTTGCACTGCTGTGAGACTCAAATGCCACTGCTGATCTGACTGGAGGGAGAGCGCAGGTGGTGATGGAAGTGCTAAGGAAGGGCTACAAGTACAGAGGAAGCTTTGCTCGCTTCCCAGCTGCTCACCCCTTTCTGTCCAGCCTGATTCCTAACAGGCCTAGAACTGGCTCTGATCCACGGCTCTGGGGCTGGAAGACCCCCTGGCCTAGGCTATAGATTTCTATTGCTAATGGTTTTGGAAGCAGGAAACCCCACATCAGACCGTCAGTATGGTTAAGTTCTAGTGAAGATTTACAAATGTACTCACCTTCTCTCTGTGTCCTCACAAGGTGAGGGAAAAAGGACTGAAAGCTCTCTGATGGCTCTTCATTTGGGGCTCTAATTTCATTATGAGGCCCCTCCCCCCCGTGACCTCATCTCGGCCTAATTACTAATTACAGTCCCTTGCATAAGCCTACTTCTCTGAAGGCCATAACTCCAGGGGTCAGAGCCTCAAACAATTCAGTCCATAGCATGGGGAGAAGACAACTGAAAAGGACTAGAGAAAGAAAATGCACCTGAAAAGAGGAGGGCTGGCCTGAGATCTTTGCTTCCCCTTTCACTGCTCTGCATTCTACCTGAGAATACTGATGAGTAGGCAAGCTCAGGAGTACGCACACTGAAGAGGAAATATCTCACAGATTATTTTACCATCAAGTGATCTTTTAACACATATGATATAGTTTTACTTGTAAACACATTGCATATCATAAAAGCGTTCTGAGCCCTTCAACAGCATGACACCCTGAGTGTCTCCCATCCTATGTATATATTAAGAATAGTCCTGGTGAGTCTTCTTGACTCTACCACTAACAATCATTCTGGTCTGTCTTCACCAAGCCTCCCTGCTGTGTAACAGGGCAGGGCTTGTGCTTCTCACATCCTGACAGCTTTTATGTGCCACATCTCAAATATCCTCAGACTTTCTTAGACAGCTGGGGGCAGACGGATGAGCTCACCAGAGCCATTCCTGCCTGATCACCGAGGTTCTGTAAATCCATGTTTGATCCCACACCTGAGACTTCAAGAGACCCAAAGACACCCACAGGAAGCACCTTCAGGCTTTGAGAGAGAGGAAAACCTAAGCAGCCATAATTAAAACATGAATCGAGCACGTTTCCAGAGGCTTGTAAGCATACACCTTTTCTGATTATTTTCTCCTTTCTGCCTGTACTTAAAATAGATGTTAGGAGCCTGGGATTATAGCTCTGGGGGAAAGCATTTGTCTGGTATCCACAAGCTCCACAGTGGGTGAGAATGAGGCACAGGGTCATAGCAAGGAGGAGACAAGGACCACAAGTTGAAATTGGGTATGGTTAGAAAAAGGTAGAAAGTAGGGAAACTTCCTTTTGCAGCTGGGCCACACTGGGTTCTCTTTGTGTGGCAGCCATGAAGGACCAAAGACCCAGAATAAATGGTGACATTTGCTTTTGGCCACTTCCAGGTCTTAGTTCTTCATAACCTCAGAACCTTCATGTTCTTAGCAAAGTGCCACATAAGTATTTGATAAAAAATAATAATTACTAAATAAGTTATAGAAGAAGGAATTAGACTTTAAGGAGTAGCTCAAAATCCGAGAATTGGAATGTATTTGGGGAATAAATAATCTAGCTTTGTATGCCACTCACTATAGGAACTCTTTCTTTAACACTTCCATGATGATTTTCTAATAAAGTAGCTTGCTTTCAGGTACATCATGCCAAATTGTGATCAGTGGGTAAAGTCTGCTCTCACCTGCATACAAGGGATTGAACTCAGG